TGGAAGCTTGCTTTCTCACTTTCTCTGATCAAATTAAGTAATACTAAATAAAGTTAAATAAAATAACTCATTAAATATACATATATATATATTCACACATGCACACACACCAGGAGAGAGAGCAAGTGGAGAACTTGAGGCACTCGACCCCGCACGACCAGCTGTGCAGTTGGAGTGACAGCCCCATTGGTCCCAAGTGAGAAAGCAAGCCGCCAGGCCCGAGACTCGAACAGGGTCAGCCACGTGGGAGTCCAGCACCCTCACCCACCACGCCACCTGCTAGCTCTCCTCCATTCTCCTCTCAGGATCTTAGGCACGCATGCATACGTGCCCAATGTGAGTTTAAGCCACCGGGTCCGGGACTCGAACCGCGGTCAACTACATGGGAGTCCAGCGACATAGCCATTATGCCAACTGCTAGTCCCAATAAACCTTATTTTAGAACCTAGATCAAGAAATAGGTCACCAGGAGAGGGATCACTTTCTGTCTCTCTGTCTCTGTCTTTCTGGCAAGCACACATGCCCTGTAGCAAAAACCTCTCCGAAAAAAATTTTTTTTTCAGAGATATTTTTGCTAGAGAGCAAGTGGGCTCACCAGAGAGACAGCGAGAAATCACTTCCCAGGGGTGATGGCCACGCCGCAATACCGTGCACATCCTCCTCTCGGGGTTTTGGGCATTCACACATAGGTGTCTGAAATGAATTTCAAACCACTGGGTCTGAGACTTGAACTACTGTCAACCATGTGGGAGTTCAGCACCTTAACTACTATACCACCTGCTAGTCCCCCACAATATATTTTTTTCATGAAAGTAATACGAGGGACCAGCAGTTAACATAATGGCTATGTCGCTGGACTCCCATGTAGTCGACCATGGTTTGCGTCCTGGACTCAGTGGTTTAAAACCCACGCCAGGCTGGGAACCAGCAGTTAGCGTAATGGCTATGTCGCTGGACTCCCACGCGAGGGCACGTGCCCTATAGCAAAAATCTCTCCAAAAAAAAAACCCAAAAAACTCACGCCGGGCACATGTCCGTGCGTGCCCAAGATCTCGAGAGGAGAATGGAAGAGAGGGAATTGTGGCATGGCCATCCCCCCTGGGGGGTGATCTCTCACTTTCTGTCTCTCTGTCTCTCTCTGTCTGGTGAGTGCATGGGCCCTATAACAACAACAAAAAAGTAATACTACTAGAGGGCTGGCAGGTGACGTGGTGGTTAAGGGCTGACCGTGGTTCGAGTCCTGGACCTGGCGGCTTGCTTTCTCACTTTCCCTCTCTCTCTTTCACTCTCTCCCTCTCTGGTCAAATTAAAATGGATAAATAAATAAAGTTAAATAAAAAATAATTTTTAAAAAGTAATACTAGAGAGGGCCAGCAGGTGGCGTGGTGGTTAAGGTGCTGGACACTCCAACGTGGCCAAGCACAGTTAAAGTCCTGGACCTGGTGTTTGCTTTCTCACTTCCCCTCCCCTGTGTCTCTTTCTGGTCAAATTAAAAAATAATAAATGACTGAATAAATACAATTAAATAATTATTTTTAAAAAATAATCTTTATTGCCCTTTTCTTAAAAAAAGAATTGCGTATCAGCAGTTGGCGCATTGCTATGTCGCGGAACTCCCACATAGTTGAATGTGGTTCAAGTCCCAGACCTGGTGGTTTAGACTCACGCCAGGTGCGTGTGCGTGCGTGCCCAAGATCCTGAGAG